CCCCTCCCTCCCTCCTTCCTTCCTTCCTTCCTTCCTTCCTTCCTGCGCCTCTCCCTCCCTCTCTCCCAATCTCCCTCCCATCCTTCCTTCCTTCCTCCTTCCTTCCTTCCATCCTTCTTTCCTTACGAACAAACCACGTCTAAAAAACACACTCCCCAGATGCCCCGTCCACCAGTTTGCTAGCACAATGACCATCGCCTCTACACCACAAAAAGTCCTATAGGATATTGATAGCTCCTACCTGAACTCCTACCAAGTCCTGCACAACTTACTGGGGGGGTAATGCTGAAAAAAATTGAAGTGAGAGTGAAAGTGTGTGAAAGTGTGTGTGTGTGAAGGTGAATGCTGGTGAGTGTGAGAAGAAAAGTGTGTGTTTGTGAGTGAATGGGTGAAAGTAGATGAGTGTGTGTGTGAGAGAATGTGATGATGGTGATAGTAGTGATGATATTGATGATGATAATGATGGTAGTAGCAAAGTCATCACCTACTGCCCCTCGCTCCTCTCCTCCCCATCACCCAGGTCCTCCCCCTACCACTCAGGTCCTCCCCTACCCCTTCCCCAGGTCCTTCCCCTACCCCCTTCCCCCAGGTCCTCCCCTACCCCTTCCCAGGTCCTCCCTTCCCCCTCCCCTTCCCCTCCTCCCACCTACCGCCGACTGTCTTCTTCGTCGGGTGAATCCAGGGTTGTGAACAGCCCAGACACAGCCCGACCTGCCAGTGTCAGGCGAGGGGTATCTCTGCCCTCACCACTGCCCTACCCTCTCCTCTCCTCCTCTCTCTCCTGCCCTCTCCCTTCCTCCTTCTCCCCCCCTCTCTCTCCCCTCCCCTGCCCTCTCTCCCTCCATCTCTCTCCCTGCCCTCTCCTCCCTCCTTCTACCCCCTCCTCTCTCCCTCTCCCTGCCCTCTCTCCCTCCCTCTCCCCCCTCTCTCTCCCTCTCCCTGCCCTCTCCCTCCCTCTCCCTTACTCATCTCCTCCAGGCGATATATACCTCCTTCCTTTACACCCTACACATATAAAGCGTTTAGGTTCTTGTCTACACCCCATATGTTCCTTTGTGAGTCTACTACACCTCACGATCTCCCTGTACACACCCTCTCTTTCTACACTCTACAATAATCACTGGGTGTATCTATCCACCTTCTCTACCCTTCACTGAGTCTTCCTACACTCGACACTCTTTACACTACACCCTCAAGATTCTCTACCTCATTCTCTTTGTATTGTATACTTTTTCTACACCCGGCCTACACCCTCTCTGTGTACTGAATACTCTCTCTTGACTACACCTTACACCTTGCCACAGTCACTGATTCTACACCTTATTTTCATCTTCTGTGTGTGTGTGTGTGTGTGTGTGTGTGTGTGTGTGTGTGTGTGTGTGTGTGTGTGTGTGTGTGTGTGTGTGTGTGTGTGTGTGTGTGTACTCCATCTCTTCATTAAGTATTGCACACCTTGATGATGTCTTTCCTCCCCTCCTCCTCACCCCCACCCCCATATCCTTACCCAACCTACCTTTTCCCCAACCCCTTCCCCCCCTTCCCCACCCCTTCCCCACTCTTCACCACACTATCCTCACCCTTCTTCCCCTTCCCTCCCCTACTCCCCCACCCTCCTCACCCTACCTCCCTCACCCTCCCACCCCTACCCTCCCTCACCCTCCTCACCCCCCCTCACCCTCCCTCACCCCTACCCTCCCTCACCCTCCTCCCTCACCCCCACCTCCACCCTCCACCCTTCCCCACCCTCCCACACCCCTCCACCCTTCCCTCCCTCACCCTCCCACCCTTCCCTCCCTCACCTCCACCCCTCCACCCCACCCTACCCTCCCTCACCCCTCCCACCCTCACCCTCCCCTCCCCTCCCCTCCACCCCTCCACCCCTCCCTCACCCTCCCCACCCTCCTCACCCTCCCTCACCCTCCACTCCCTCACCCTCCCCTCCCTCACCCTCCACCCTCCCTCCCCCTCCCTCACCCTCCCACCCTCCCACCCTTCCCTCCCTCACCCTCCCACCCCTCCCTCCCTCCCCTCACCCTCCCACCCCACCCTCTCCCCCTCCCCTCCACACCCCACCCTCCCTCACCCTTCACCCCTCCACCCTTCCCTCACCCTCCCACACCCTTCCCTCCCCTCACCCCTCCACACCCCCCCCTCCCCTCACCCTCCCACACCCCCCCTCCCTCCCTCACCCTCCACCCTACCCTCCCTCCCTCACCCTCCACCCTCCACCCTCCTCCCTCACCCCTCCCACCCTTCCCTCCCTCACCCTCCACCCTCCCCTCCCCTCACCCTCCCACCCCTCCCTCCCTCACCCCTCCACCCCTACCCCTCCCTCACCCCTCCACCCTACCCTCCTCACCCTCCACACCCTTCCCTCTCCCCCCTCCCTCCCTCACCCTCCACCCTACCCTCACCCCTCCCCACCCCACCCTCTCCCTCACCTCCGCACCCTCCTCCCTCACCCTCCCACACCCTCCACCCTCCCCTCACCCCTTCCACCCTTCCCTCCCTCCTCACCCCCACCCCACCCCCTCACCCTCCCTCCCACCCTCCCACACCCTTCACCCTCCACCCCTACCCCCCTCACCCTCCACACCCTACCCTCCCTCACCCTCCACACCCTTCCCTCCCTCACCCTCCACACCCTTCCCTCCCTCACCCTCCACACCCTTCCCTCCCTCACCCTCCACACCCTATCCTTGCGTTCATAAAAATTCATACGCGTTTTTTTCCTCTCTCGTTTTCCGTGTGATGTGAAAGTGCCAATAACTACACTACGGTACACTACAGTCTCAACACGGGTTCAGTGCCATTAAGCCGCCATTCTGAGGTCGTTGTGTAGGAGAGGAGGAAAAAGGGAGTTGAGGATGGAGGGGCATTTATGGTGTGTGTGAGAGAGAGAGAGAGAGAGAGAGAGAGAGAGAGAGAGAGAGAGAAAGAAAGAGAGGTTTATTTTACTACATATTACCCATCAATGTTTATAGTCATACTCCCTGGCCTTAAGAAACTAACATACACATAAAAATAATATTATACATTTGTTAAACTTTATTATACACTTTATGAGTTGTTATTCAGGTTTTTATATATTAAGAATTTTTTTTTTAAATTCATAGGACATTTTTATATTGTATCTTACCTGTGGGGTCATTATATTATTGGAGTACAGGTTAAGTTAACGTTGTTTTTCATTATACATTACGTTAAATATTAAAATACCCCGAAAAATAATGAAAGATCTGAGTGAATAAATGTGAAAATCCCATATCATTCCTCAGTGACATGATCCTTAAGTAGATAGTGCCAGATAGTGCCAGATAGTGCCAAAATTGTCCAGGGAATTTGGACCGTAGCTGCACGTATATTATGACTGTATATAATTACCAACGAGAGGAAGTAAAGATGACGTCATTTCCGCCATGGTATGATCCAGGAGGTGTTTCTTGGTAAGCCGGAAGTAAGGTGTTGGTATGTAGGAGAGGTCGATGACTGGACCCCTTGAGGACGATGACTGGACCCCTTGAGAACGATATTTCCAAACCCTTGAGAACGGTATTTGAACCTTTGAGAACGACCCAGCTACCAAACTGCCAAGAACGTGGCTAAAACCCCTTGAGAACGTAACTGAACCCCACCAAGGGGCAATAGCTGGGCTTGCCAAGAGACGTGGCTGACCCGCGAGAACGTAACTGAACCCCTTGAGAACGGTAGCTGAACCGCGAGAACATTACTGCGACCTCAAAGAGACGACCAGCTGAAACCCCGCCAAAGACGATGACTTTGGAGCCCCTGAAGAACGGCCAGCTGGAACGCAAGAACGTGCTGAACCCCTTGAGACGTGACTGAACCGCCAAGGGACGATAGCTGGACGCAGGGACGATGACTGGACGGCCCGCCAGGGACGATGACTGGACCCCTTGGACGATGACTGGACCCCTTGAGGACGATGACTTAACTCCTTGAGGGACGATGACTTCCACCGCTTGGGGTATAATCCTCTCTCATCTTGCTATACTATCTTCCTCTACCCCAACCCCCCTCCTCTTCCTACCCCCCCTGCCCCCATTCTACCTCCAACCCTCCCCCCCTCTTTTCTTCCCTACCCCTCCATCCCCTACCCTCCCCTACCCACCCATCCCTCCCCTCCCTACCCACCATCCTCCCCATCCTACCCACCATCCTACCCCTCCCCTACCCACCATCCTCCACCATCCTGCTCTCCATCCTACCCTCCCTACCCCCCATCCTCCTCCCTCCCACCACATCCTCTTCCATCCTGCCCCCTCCCCCTCCCATCCCTACCACCATCCCTACCGCCATCCTGCTCCTCATCACGTCCCCAATATCTGTGCAATATGCGGCAACTTTGCTGTTGCCAGCAGATGTATTCTTCCCTTCCTTGTATTCTCCAGCACATTCCCTGCCTCTTTTTCCACTCCTCCTGTCTTCCTGTCTTTCATCCTCCTCCTCCTCTCCTCCTCTCCCTACTTCCCCTCCCTACAAGGTTATCTACTAGTTCCTCTTCCTCATTATCTTCCTTCTCTTCCTCATTTTGCTACGTCGTTCTTCTTCCTTTGTCTTCCTCTTTCTTCTTTGTCTTCCTCTTGTTTGGTCCTTCTTCCTCTTCCTCTTCATACCTCCTCTTCCTTCCATGTCTTCCTTCTACTTTTAGGTCTTCCTCCTAGGGCCTCTTCCTCCTCTAAATCCTCCAAGTGGTCCTCCCCCCCCCTTCCTCCTCCTCCTTCCTCCTCCCCAAAAAAGAGATAAATAAAAGAAAGAGAGGAGAATAAAGAGATAAATAGAGATAGAGAAAAATGAGAGAGATAGAGAGAAAGAAAGAAAAAAGGAAAGATAATGACAGAGATGAAGAAGAGATAATGAGAGAGAGAGAGAGAGAGAGAGAGAGAGAGAGAGAGATAAAGATAGAAAAATAAAGAGATCCTCACTCGGCAGACAAGTGGAAAATCTCTCACAGGGAAAAGAGGTCGGAGGCTGGTCGATTAATTGGCTGTGGACTGGTTGACTGGCTGTGGGGGGACTGTGGATTGGCTGTGGACTGGTTGGCTGGCTGTGGACTGGTTGGCTGGCTGTGGGGACTGTGGATTGGCTGTGAACTGGTTGACTGGCTGTTGGGGGACTGTGGATTGGCTGTGGACTGGTTGACTGGCTGTGGGCTGGTTGACTAGCTGTTGGGGGACTGTGGATTGGCTGTGGACTGGTTGACTGGCTGTGGGGACTGTGGATTGGCTGTGGACTGGTTGACTGGCTGTGGGGGACTGTGGATTGGCTGTGGACTGGTTGACTGGCTGTTGGGGACTGTGGATTGGCTGTGAACTGGTTGACTGGCTGTTGGGGACTGTGGATTGGCTGTGGACTGGTTGACTGGCTGTTGGGGGACTGTGGATTGGCTGTGAACTGGTTGACTGGCTGTGGGAGACTGTGGATTGGCTGTGGACTGGTTGGCTGGCTGTGGGGGACTGTGGATTGGCTGTGGACTGGTTGACTGGCTGTTGGGGGACTGTGGATTGGCTGTGAACTGGTTGACTGGCTGTGGGAGAATGTGGATTGGCTGTGGACTGGTTGGCTGGCTGTGGGGACTGTGGATTGGCTGTGGACTGGTTGGCTGGCTGTGGGGGCTGTGGATTGGCTGTGGACTGGTTGACTGGCTGTGGGAGACTGTGGATTGGCTGTGGGCTGGTTGGCTGGCTGTGGGGGACTGTGGATTGGCTGGACTGGTTGACTGGCTGTGGGCTGGTTGACTGGCTGTGGGACTGTGGATTGGCTGTGGACTGGTTGACTGGCTGTTGGGGACTGTGGATTGGCTGTGAACTGGTTGACTGGCTGTGGGAGACTGTGGATTGGCTGTGGACTGGTGGCTGGCTGTGGGGACTGTGGATTGGCTGTGGACTGGTTGACTGGCTGTGGGGGACTGTGGATTGGCTGTGGACTGGTTGACTGGCTGTTGGGGGACTGTGGATTGGCTGTGGGCTGGTTGACTGGCTGTGGGGTGACTGTTGACTGGCTGTGGGGTGATAGTGGACTCTCTCTCTCTCTCTCTCTCTCTCTCTCTCTCTCTCTCTCTCTCTCTCTCTCTCTCTCTCTCTCTCTCTCTCTCATCGTTCTCGGGAAATAAAAATGTTAAGCGTCATTTCCTTATTTTCATTTCGATTTTTTTGCAATTACTCTTTAATGTCTGGTGTGGAAAGAGGAAGAGGGAGAGGAGGAAGAAGAGGAAGACCAAGAGGAAGAGGAGGAGAAATAGGAGAAATGAGAGGAGTAAGAGGGAGAGGGGAAAAGAGAGAGGAGGAGGAAAGGAGGAAAGGAAAGGAGGGAAGGAAGAGGAGGAGCTGGACTAAAGAAGAGGAGGAGAAGGAAGAGGAAGAAGAGTAGGAGGAAAGAGATGATAAGTAAGAGGGAATGAAAGAAGGAGGAAGCAGTGGTGTGGTCATAGAGAGAGCGAGGTCATATTTATCTATCTATCTATCTATCTATCTATCTATCTATCTATCTATCTATCTATCTATCTATCTCTTTGGCCTGATAGAGAGATAGTGAAGATGTTGTCTCACCAATAACGAGAGACTGAGAGATTCTTGGGGGGCGTTATGTTGTCGTCAGTGTGATTAATTACTTCAGTGTCTCAATATCTCTCAAGAGACAAAGACTCGTGAGATACCATGCGAGCCTTGTGTAGAGGAGATAGTTGTTAGTGCTTAAGGATCGGTATATTTAATGGTACTGCAACAACTACAACTACAACAACAACAACATCATATCAACCACAACAATAATAACAATAAAACAAACAACAACTACAACAACAACAACAACAACAACCTTAACAAACAACTTTTAACAAGTTTATTAACAACCACAACAACAACAATCATATCAACCACAATAACACTAACAACAACAACAACAACCATAACAACCACAACAATAATAACAATAAAAACAAACAACAACTACAACAACAACAACAACAACAACCTTAACAAACAACTTTTAACAAGTTTATTAACAACCACAACAACAACAATCATATCAACCACACTAACACTAACAACAACAATAACCATAACAACCACAACAATAATAACAATAAAACAAACAACAACAATAACAACAACAACATCATCAATAACATCCATAACAAGAATAACAAACAACAACAATTTTACTAACCATAAAACAACAACAACAACAACAACAACAAGAAAACAGCAACAACAACAACAACAACAACAACAACAACAACAACAAGCCTTTAAAAATTCCTGGCCTGAAGTGAATAGACCAAGATCATATGTCAGAACTTACCTTTCCCCTCCCTTCCTCTCCCTTCCTCTCCTCCCACCATTCCTTTGACCCCCCTCTCTCTCTCTCACTTCCTCACCTTTCCCTCCCTCCTTTCCCTTCCCTTCCCATCCCACTCCCTCTCTTTCAGGAGAGAGAGTAAAAAGAGAGTGAGAGAGTAAGAGAGAGAGAGAGAGAGAGAGAGAGAGGAGAGAGAGAGTCTATTGTCAGGCAACTCAACAACAACACTGAAAACATTTGCCAAAACTCTGACATTTCCGCGTGGCGTCGAGCGAGTGAAGACGTGTCCCTCACCTCCTGCTGGGGGAGGACCTGGGTGGCTCTTAGCTCCCGGATGTTGAGGGAAGAATGAAGCTGCCTTTAGTTACCTCCTTCTTCTTCTACTCCTCCTCCTCCTCCTTCTTTCCTTTTTCTTCTCCTCCTTCCTTCTTTTTTCTTCTCCTCCTCCTCCTCCTCCTCTTCCTACTCATCCTTCTCCCTTTCCTCCTCCTGTTATGGATGATGGTGACTCGTGGTGGGTGATGGTGAGTCATAGTGGTGGTGTGGATGATCCGTGGTGGGTGATGGTGAGTCATGGTGGTGGTTTGTGAGTTATGGTGGTGGTGGTGACTCATGGTGGTGGTCAGGGGTCAGTTCCTCGTCGCCAGGAAGGACCGGATACGAGATTGATCGGCCGAAGGATGTTTCCTGTCCGTCTGGCCAGTGATTCCTGTAGGGGACACTGACGGTAGGACCTGTAGGGGACACTGACGGTAGGATCTGTAGGGAACACTGACGGTAGGACCTGTAGGGGACACTGACGGTAGGATCTTGGGGACACTGACGGTAGGACCTGTAGGGGACACTGACGGTAGGACATGTAGGGACACTGACGGTAGGACCTGTAGGGGACACTGACGGTAGGACCTGTAGGGGACACTGACGGTAGGATCTGTAGGGGACACTGACGGTAGGACCTGTAGGGGACACTGACGGTAGGACCTCTAGGGGACACTGACGGTAGGATCTGTAGGGGACACTGACGGTAGGACCTGTAGGGGTGATCTGACGCGTCCTACAGCTCAAGGGGGCGAGAAAGAAGACCAACAGACAGACAGAGAGGCAAGGAGAATCAGACAAACAGAAGCCCGAGGTCTCAAAAGGTCAAGTCATCATCCCATTCATCTCGGGTCGCCGGTAATTATGCTCTTAACTCATCAGCTGTTGTTTGTTTGTTTGTTTGTGCGTGCTAGCGTGCGTGTGTCAGTGAACATGAACCTCTGTTTTATATATATTCGATTAAGTATATATATCTCCATGAACGTATCAAAACATATCAGTAAAGTTAGTGAACGCCGGACTGCCACGGCCCCCATAACGCAGCACCATTCACGTTCATCCACATTCTCAACAATTACACTTTTTTTTTTCCTTTTTTTTCGTCTGGTCGAGAATTTGTTAGAGGTGAGTTTTAATTCTTGCTGGGCGGAGGGTAACAAAGGCTCTGGTTGGTGGCAGAGAGGAGGTTGGATTTCGTTAACTGATGTGAAAAGTAATTGTGTAGTTTTTCTCTTAAATTTATCTGGTTAATGGTATTGGTGGAGGGAGAGGGATGGGAGAGGGGAGGTATGAGAGTGAGAGGGATAGAGAGGGTTAGAGGGTTAAAGAGAGGGGGGATGAGAGAGAGGGAGGATGAAACAGTGAGAGAAAGGGAAGAGGGTGGGACAGTACGGTAAGAGAAAGAATGAGAGAGGGATGAAGAAAGAGAGGGTGGGAGAAGAAGGGAGAGGGTGGGACAGGAAGAGAGAGAGAGAGACAGACAGACAGACAGACAGACAGACAGACAGACAGACAGGCAGACAGACAGACACAAGCTGTTCTCACCCACTTCACGTCTACAACTGATGTCCGCCTGAAAGTGGTCATCGCCGTCACCCTCAACCTCCTTCACAGTGTCCACAACGCGACAAATCACAAAATTATACGTAAAGTCTCGCGTCTCGTAATGTCTCGTACGTCGTAATGTCTCTCGTCTCGTAATGTCTAGTTCACACCCTTTTTGTCTTACCTTGTTCGACACACCTTTCGTTATGTTTGTCTCTTTCTTTATTTATATCTTGTTCCTTCTATACCTATATTTTATCACCTTCATCTCTTCTCCTTTCTTCTTCCTTCTATGCATTATCCATTATCACCCCTCCCTCCTCCTCTTCCTTCCTCCCCCCCCCCTTCCTCTTCCCCTCCTCCTTTCTCTCTGCCTACCCAGTATCACCTCTTCTCTCCTTGTTATTCCTCTATGTCATTCGTCATTCTTTGTGTCTGCCGGTGATGATTATTTTCCAACCATAAGTATTTTCCAGAAGTTTTTTTTATTGTCGTGTGTGTGTGTGTGTGTGTGTGTGTGTGTGTGTGTGTGTGTGTGTGTGTGTGTGTCATCATCGGCTTATTATCGGACATGGTATTAATTTCTCGTGTCGTTCTCCTCCTCTCCTTTTTTCCCTCTTTTCCTCTTCTCCCTCCTCTTCTCTTTCTCTCCTCTCATTCTCCTCTCCCCCTGTGCCCAACCAGAAAGTGAGACTCTCCCTCCTCTTCTCTCTCCCACTTCTCCCACATTCTCCTCCCTGCTACTCCTCCTCCTCCCCCTCTCCCCTACATAACAAGGCCTCCCCCCTCACTCCCACTTCTCCTCCCCCCACATAACCAGGAGGGGGGTAAGGCTCCCCCCTCCATAACTCAGTACACGGCAGTAAACACGGGCGTTACGAGGCAGTGTTAAGGCCTCACAGCACACGATGGCCGGATGCAAAACTCGGTGATGATCTGTAAGAAGCTCTGGTAGTTGTGGGAGTGGTAGTAGGAGTAATAGTAGTGATGTAGTGATGGTGGTAGTAGTAGTAGTAGTAGTAGTAGTAGTGATGGTGGTGGTAGTAGTGGTAGTAGTAATAGTAGTGATGTAGTGATGGTGGTGGTAGTGGTAGTGGTAACTGTAGTAGAAGCATTGGGTCAAGGAAAGGACCAGACGCAACAAAACTGGCAGTAAAACAACAAAACTCACATGAACCAAGACCCCAAAACTCACACGAACCAAGACCCCAAAACTCACACGAAACAAAACAAAACTCACACGGAACAGGACCCCACAACAACACGCCCTCCATAAGAAAAAAATAAATAGAAAATTCACAGCCACAAGGAACAGTTTATGTCTTATGATCAACTAGACATTATTTTAAGACCATTTGAGAATACGGAAGAAGACATCTCTATAACCTCATAGTACAGTAGTTAAGATATTATCACTACGTCACTTAACGACTTACGACTGTCAACTTACGATATATAAGGAGACAGTTAGTGACGTAAAAAAAGAAAGGAGAGTATAAATCATAAACATCCTAGCCTTCCTCCCCTTCCCCCTCCCTTCCCCCCTCCCCTTCCCCCCTCCCCTTCCCCCCCCTCCCTTCCCCCTTCCCTATCATCACCCTCCCCATATCCTTTACATCGCTTTAAAATAAAATAAGACAATTGGAAATAATAATGTGTAGAATATGATTTAAATAAACGGCAGGTTGGCTTAACGCTTGGGTTGACGGCTTGGCTTGACTTGGCTTGGCGGCAGCAGGTTTAAGTTTAGTTTGGGTTGGGTTGGCTTGGCTTGGCTTGGGTTGGCTTGGCTTGGCTTGGCTTGGGTTGGGTGTTGGTTCGATGGATGTCTCAGGGTTGTGGGTTTGAAGATCTTAGTTTAGTTAAATATTTAAGTTAATATTAGTAATAATGAACGTACAAATAACCAATGTACAGAATATATTAGAGAGATATGTGTACATTAGCAGGGCATTATTGTGTACATGTGCACATAAAGTAACGCACATGAACGATAAGTAAGAATTAATTAACTTAACTATTTTTTGTAAGATCTTAAAAATAAAATACTTTATTATTTTTTCTAAGTAAAAACCTGAAAACAAATTATTTTTATTTTATTTATTATTTATTGATGTTTTCTTTAACCCAGTGCAAATAAACTGTTGTTGTTGTTGTTGTTGTTGTTGTTGTAGTTGTTGTAGTTGTTGTTATTGTTGTTGTTGCTGTTGGTGGTGGTGTAGTTGTTGTAGTTGTTGTTGTTATTTTTGTTGTTGTTCTTGTTGTTGGTGTAGTTGTTGTTGTTGTTATTGTTCTTATTGTTGTTGTTGTGTTATCTCCTATCTCTCGAGGTCTCTTTTAACACTGGAGATAAATTTTGATGTCTGTTATCTCTCCTGATCTCCTCCATAAGAGATAGTTATTGACGTGTTATCTCCTATCTCTAGTTCCCTCCACAAGAGATATCATGATGTCTCCTGTCTCTCCCGGTCTCCTCCACGAGAGATAGTTAATAACGTCTCCTATCTCGTTCAATATATCATGGTTTTATAACCTAAGAAAATATATATAAAAAAGATATCACAAAAATTATTTAGTCTTGTATAAAATTCACGACTTTTTTCGTCTTTTTATGAGTCGTAATTTTTTTTCTATTTTTTCATATGTCTGTCTGTCTGTCTGTCTGTCTGTCTGTCTGTCTGTCTGTCTGTCTGTCTGTCTGTTTTTCTGTCTACTGTATCTATCTTTCTATGTTCCTATCTTTTTGTATACGCCTGTCTGTCTGTCAGTCAGTCTGTCTCTGTCTACAAGTAAAAAAAAACACATAATTGACAACTAGATAATCTTCATCTTACCCTCCGCTTTTTTTTTTTACTCTTAATCGGCTCTTTTACACATTCTTAATCGACTATTGTCAACACTCTTAATCACCTCTTGTTTACACTCTTAATCGACTTTTGTTTACACCCTTAATCGGCTTTTATTTGCATTTCACACCCTCAATCGGCTTTTTTATACCCCCAATCGGCTTTTTTTTTTTACACTCAATGGCTCAAATCTCCATCATTTACATAGAGGGTCAGACTATGTAAATACAACATTGAATATGTATGCTGGGGGCGGCCTCACCAACACGGCTTCCACTCCGGCTGTAAAAAGTGACGGTGGAAAAAGGTTGTCTTAAGTAGTTTAAAAGTAAGAGAAATACGCAACTTTTCACCTGAGCCAAAATACTGTACCTGTGGGAATTTGTTTTGTTTTGCTTATAAGTGATTTATTTACTTATTTTACCCCAATGGTGATTATTTGGTGATGGTGGTGATGGTGGGTGGTGGTGGTGGTTGGTGATGGTGGTTGGTGGTGATGGTGGTGGTGATGGTGGTTCGTGTGTTGTGGTAATTGTGTGTATACCTGTGTCCGCTTGTGTGTGTGTGTGTGTGTGTGTGTGTGTGTGTGTGTGTGTGTGTGTGTGTGAGAGAGAGAGAATTCCTCCCTGCTGAGTTTCCCACTTAGCAGGAGGCGGAAGCAAGGAAAGTAGCAGAGTTCGGTGGCACACTGCCTCCCCCCTCAACTCCCCCTCTTCCTCCCTCTCCTACCTCCCTCCCTCCCGCACCTCCTCCCTCTCCTAGCCCTCCCTCCCGTAACCTACATCCCCTCCTTCTCTTCTACCCAGACACTCCATCCCCCCGTCCACACATTCACCTCCCTCCTCCTCCCTTCCCCTCCCCTACCTCCCTCCCCCTTATCCACCCTTACACTCCCTCTTTTACATTCAACCCTCCCTCCCCTCCCTCCCTCACTCCCTCATCCCACACATTCCTCCCTCCTCCCTCCTTCTCTCCCTCACTCCCTCCTTCATCCACCCATACCTCCCTCCCTCCATTCCTTCCTCCCCTCCCCTCCCTCCCCTCCCTCATCAATCTCCCCTCTCCTCCATTCCTTCCCTCCCTCCCTCCTCCATTCCCTTTCCCTCCCTCCCTCCCTCCCCTCATCCACCCAGCCCACCTCCCTCCTCCATATTCCCTCCTTCCACTTTCTCCCCTCATCCACCCATACACTCCCTCCTTCACTTTCTCCCTCATCCACCCATACACTCCCTCCTCCACTCCTTCCCTCCTTCACTTCCTCCCTCATCCACCCATACACTCCCTCCTTCCTTCCTTC